GCTTTTTTCTTTTTGCTTATGTGGTGCTGAGGAATCGAACCCAGGGCCTCGAGCATGCAAGGCAAGCGCTCTACCACTGAGCCACCTTCCCAGCCCTGAGGTGCCACCTCTTTCAAAGAAAAAACATGCCCCACCTCATTTAATAGCCGGGGAGGTCCCAACACTCCCCATGTGACCAGAAACAACTTCAAAAGTGAAACTGATTCAGTCCCTTCACCTTTAAAACTCACTCTCAGCTTGTAGAAAGAAGGAAAGGGGAGAAAGAATAATCGAAGAAATCTGGTTAGTGAGGCACAGTACAGGGGAGTGGAGCAGAATCTTCAACTGTTAATGGAATAGCAGGGAAGGATGAAAAGGGACTCAGAAGACAAAAGCCAGATGTGGTCGTACACCTATAATCCCAGTTACACTAGATATAGAAGCAGGAGGATCATGAGTTAAAGGCCAGCTAGGATCAAGTTAGGGAGTTCCTATCTGAGAAACAAAACATACAAACAAAGGTGTTGTGTGCTGGGTGCATTGGATGGGTGGTAGAGCACTGCCTGAGATACTTAAGGCTCTGGCATCATTCTTAGGACTGAAACTTCAACCAAGACACAATGAAGTGCAACGAATGACTCTACCTGATTTTGACTGGAATAAAAGAGCTGTAGAAGATGCTTAGAGACCACCAGTAAATGTGAATAAATGCATTCCGTATCACAAAAAGAACTGCTGTCATTCTTTCTGATGGAGGCATAGAATTCCGTTGTGTACATATACCACATTTTCTTGATCTAACCCAAAACCAAGTGCCCAGGAAGTGCCCGCTGTTGTCAAAAAAAAAAAAAAGAGACTGCATCAGAAAGTAATGGAAAATAGTCATCACACACCGTGTCCTCAGACCCATGAGGCTCAGAACTTCGTAAGAGACACTTGAACTAGAGGCTTCTCCTCCCATCGGCTAAGGTAGCTGCGTACAGTAGAAGGACATGTTCACTAACAGATTCCCTCACAACAACCCGGGTTTCAGCAGGAAAGAAATGGCAGATTGACAGAAGTTCAACAAAGGTCTGTTTATGAAACTGCAGGCAGAGTGAAGAGAACTAAAGAGCAGAGGATGGGAGGGGTGGGGAGCGCTGGACCCGCATCAGGACGGGAGGAGCTGAGGGAGCCCCTAACAGCCTGTAAGCAGAGAGGGAGAAGAGAGATACCCACCAGGACAACCTAGTAATGTGCCAGCCAGAGCTAAAGATGGGTTCCAAGACCAGCCAACAGCACAAGATAAACCAACAAGGGGTCAATATGCCTGCCCACCTACCTGGCCAGAGACAGCCCCAGCCACTAGGAACTAGGGGTAAGGGGGAATCACCTCACTGGTCACATGGTTCCATCTCCCATACTAGCCCTGGGGCACAACTCTGACTGCTGTCCTGGCCACCATCTAGGTTTCTATTCATGAAACCCACCAGTCCCTACCCCAGCCCTGAAATTTGTTCTGGCCATTTCCAGCTCTCCACCAACGTCCCCCACACACAGTAGGCACTCAATAAATGCCGGCGAAACTGTCTTCCTTTTATTATGTAAAATGATAGCCCAGGCTCAGTCTGCTGAAAGACTGGGGGATTTATTGCATTTTTTTGTTACCTGCCAACTAGTGAAGACCACAAAAGGCTTTTGCGGGAACAGTAAATGAGGGGAATGAGTAAGTCACTGCTAACAAGGCTGGTTTTATGGATCTCACACCTCCTCAGGGCCAAGCAGGCTCATTTCAGAAGGGAGATCTATTTTTGCAAGCTTAGAGACCAAAGAGAAGGCTACAGAGGGCTCTAGGACAAAGGGAGGCTGTGCGCGGGAGCTCAGGCGCTGAGGGCTGAGTGAACTTGTGCTCCTGAGCTTGCGGGCGTGGCTTCCACGTCTCCAGCGATCTCTAGGGCTTTCCTTAATCATGCCTATGGAAAATGCCCGCCATTTGTCTTAGTCCAACACAAAACAGCTTCTGACAGAGCAGGGCACCAGCCAAGAAAACTTAGCCCAGGGTGCTGGCGGGAAAAGCCTGCCCAGCTTGCCTGGGGTGGCCTGGCCTGGTCACCATGCACACAGAGGGACTGTCAACACTTCCTGCCTCCTCAAAACTTCATGTATTAGGACCTTAATCCCTCCATGCAGCAGTGTTGGGAAGCAGGGCCTGATGAGGTGTTCCGGCCACGAAGTGGGGCACTCATGAATGCATTAGTGCCTTTATCTGGCGCTAGTGAGTCCTCCTGGAGAAAAGCGAATCCGTTACTACAAAGGCAGGCGACCAGAAGACAAGCCCATCCCGAGTGCTTGGCTCTTGTGCAGATTCCAGTTCACGCTTCTCTTTTCTACCATCAGCTGAAGCAGGCCAAAGCCCACACCAGATGTGACCGCCCGACCCCGGACATCCCAACCAGGAGCCAAGATTTTCTTTCTAAGTTACCCCAGCTCAAGTTGTTTGCCATAGTAACAGAAAACAGACTACAACGCCTCCTTTGCTTCCCAGGTCTGGTGTGTCCTCGGGCCTCACTGTCTCCTCAACTTCACAGGAGGCACGGGAGCTGGACATGGGGGCGGCAGGCCAACAGCTTGACACCAGCCAGCTGCCGGGCGCACTGCTTCTGCTGGGCTGTCATTTTAATTTTACTTTTGTGTTTACTGTGTTTGGTTTGTGGAGACAAGATCACACTCTGTAGCCCAGGCTGGCCTTAAAGTCACGATCTTCCTGCCTCAGCCTCCCAAGCGGCTAGGAACACAGACGTGCACTACCATACCCAGCAGTATTTCCATGAAAAAAAAAAATGAGAACATCCTCACCACAACTGAGCTTCAACCGAGTCTTCAATGTTTAGTTTTCAGCTGAGACTGTAAGGACACGCCAAGGATTCCAGTGTTAAAATGTACACGCCACCCGAAAAGAGAGGCGTCCTCAGAGGGAGCTGAGCGCGTTCTCCTCCAGAACCTTATTTCAGTGAACATCCATTGTTCTTGACATCTGGGAAATTCCCAGTCCAGGGAACAAGATATTGGGGGCTAGTAGGAAGAGAAAAGTGGGGCCA